AAAAAAAAAAAAAAAAAAAAAAAGGAAAAAAAGAAAAAAAAAGGAGAAAAAAAGAAAAAAAAAAGGAGAAAAAAAAGATAAAAATAAGTGAAACAAAAGGAAAAAATTAATAATAATGGATGAAGAGAGAAACCCCCTGTTTTTCCCCCTCCGCACTCAAACCCGCTCCGCCCACCAACCTCCGGCTCTGCTTTCCGGACTGCCGACCCCCCGCCCCGCAGCAGGACAATCGGACGGACGGACGGACGGACGGCGCAGGCCCCGCCAGGCCCGGGGGCGGAGGGGGCAGGAGGGGATCTGGGGGTCGGTGCTGGGTGCCCCCTGCCCACAGCCCGGCCGGGGACCCCGGGGAAGGCTGTTTGGGGATTCTTTTCTTTTCCTTGTCGCTCCCCGTCCGCTCGCTCGCCGCGGGGGCTGCTCCTGCCGGACGGACACCGATGGCTGTTGGTGAAGCGCTGACCCCCACCCGGCTCTGGCCAGCGGGGCTCGGAGACGCCACCATCACCAGGTGAGTGCCGGCTGTGCTGCAGGGCTGTGCCGGCTGTGCTGGGTGCTCCAGCGGCTGCTCTGACCCCTCTGGGTGCCCCCGGCCCCTCCTGGGCTCTGAGCGGGTGCCCTGGGTGTTGTCCCACCGAAATCAAACCGGGCACCCTGGGGGCTGGAGCTGCGGGGTGCAGGAGCCCGGGGGTGCCAGAGCCGAGGGCTGTGGGGTTCCCCAGACCCCCGAATGTTTGGGTGCCAGATGGGGGGCGCAGGACGCGAGACCCCAGGGGTGTGGGTGCCAGAGCAGAGTGAACGGGACTCCAGACTGCTGGGTGTGCGTGGGAAGGAGCCAGATCCCCTGGTACATGGGACCTGGACCCCAGAGCCGGGTGTGGGTGCCAGGATTGGGGTGAGCAGGACCCCAGAGCCGGGTGTGGGTGCCAGGATTGGGGTGAGCAGGAGCCCAGAGCCGGGTGTGGGTGCCAGATGAGGGGTGAACAGGAGCCCAGAGCCGGGTGTGGGTGCCAGATGAGGGGTGAGCAGGACCCCAGAGCCGGTGTGTCGGTGTCAGGATTGGGGTGAGCAGGACCCCAGAGCCGGGTGTGGGTGTCAGGATTGGGGTGAGCAGGACCCCAGAGCCGGGTGTGGGTGCCAGGATTGGGGTGAGCAGGACCCCAGAGCCGGGTGTCGGTGTCAGGATTGGGGTGAACAGGAGCCCAGAGCCGGGTGTGGGTGCCAGGATTGGGGTGAGCAGGACCCCAGAGCCGGGTGTCGGTGTCAGGATTGGGGTGAACAGGAGCCCAGAGCCGGGTGTGGGTGCCAGGATTGGGGTGAGCAGGACCCCAGAGCCGGGTGTGGGTGTCAGACCCCCGGGCCCGTGGGTGGGGGTGGGCAGACACCCCATGGTGGGACCCTCACTCCTCTCTCCCCTTCCCCCCAGCACAGCACCCCAGCCCTGCGCCCCCCACCCATCCCGGCCGCCGGAGAGGAGAGGAGAGAAGAGGAGAGGAGAGGAGGGGGCCACCTCCGGAGGGGACCCCACCCCTGCCGCCCCTGCTTCACCCCCGGCCCCCGCCTCGGCCGTGGCGCCGGCGCCGCGTTCTCTCTCTCCTCCCAGCCAGAAGCAGAGGGACTCTTTAAGTTCTATTTTTTATTTGATTGATTTTCATTTTCTGCACAAAACCAGCAATTGTAAATACTTTTGAAGAAAAGAAGTTAAAAAAAAAAAAATGTTTAAGGATAAAAAAAAAAAATTAAAAAGCTAAAAAAATAAAAAAAAAAAAAAAATTAAAAAAATCACGCACCGGAGGGAGAATCCAAAAATGATGGAGAACAGGCCTAAAGCATCCAAGAGGTGAATATGCAGCAGAAAAGAGCAAAAACCCCCCCAGTATGCACTGAGAAAAAAATTTATTTACAGATCGAGCAACAAAAAAAAAGAAAAAAAAAGAAAAAAAAAAGAAAAGTAACAATAACCTATTTATTGTATATAATGTTTTATTATAAATCGTGTCTTGTATATTGCATTCTGTACATCTGCTGTGGTTTTGTGGTGTGCAACTTCCGCATGGGTTCCTTGGGTTTCCGTTGCCTTTTTTTTAATGATTCAATGATGATTTGAGTTTTATTTTTATTATTATTCTGAAGAACGAAGGCGGGTTTTTGGTTTTTTGTTGGGTTTTTTTGGTTGGTTTTTTTTTTTTTTTTTTTTTGGCAGTACACACCCAAAGATCCAAATTTGTATAAAAACAAAAAGGAGTTATAAAAAAAAAAAAAAAAAAAATTTTTAAAAAAGAAAAAAAAAAGGAAAAAAAAAATAAAAAAACCC